TGCCGGAAAAAACTTAAATGGGAATGCAGAAAATGAATTTTTAAAGAGATATTTACGCCTGGAGAAAAAAGAAAATGTAAATAAGTAAATTATAAAATTTTATATAATTCAATTAAATAAGTTTTGAATAATCACCCATTTCTGCATAATTTTTGATTAAGTCGCTCACTATCTTCTAGTAGTTTGGACTTTTGTGTTTACCGAGAAAGGAAGAAACGACCATTTCGAAGGAATCCCACGCTGCTGCCTCAACTGGTGACAATAGTCCTTTGAATTGGTCATTATTTATCAACTTTTTATTTGGGGTCCAACAAATATACTTCTTTTATCTTGGCCTGGGAAATATTTCGGAAAAAATTTTGCAAATAATTGAATGCTTTGCCTTCTTTGTCCAACGCCTTAACAAAATTTTTAATGAGGCCGAGCTTGATGTGCAATGGCGGAATAATGATTGTTTCCTTCTTTGCAAGTGGGACGTATTTGATATTATCCACAATCATTGCAAATTCAACTCTTTCCGGCCAATCCTTAATGCAATAGTGGTCTTTACGAGCTCGGCTATCCCATTTGCAGAGAAAACAGCAGTGTTTTGTGAGGCCACTTTGTAGACCACATAACATTCCAACGACTTTAAGATCGGCACATATTTTCCAATCATGCTTTTCATATTTGATGAATTTTAACAATTTCTCCATTACCTCGTATGTTTCCTTCGTGTTTACTGCATGCGCGATCGGGATCGAGGGCTTTTTGTTGCCATTATGCAGTAATACGACCTTCAAGCTCAGTTTATTCCTGTCTATGAACAATCGCCACTCCTCGGAATCATATGGTTGACCAAACTCTTTGAATAATCCTGGAATGTCTTTGCAATAGCATACATTATCCTCCTTCGTATAGTGTTTGGCAAATGGTTCGTGACGATTTCTATAATATGTCACCTTAACATGGGGTGACACGAATTGAAATTGTTGCATACGAGAGGCATGTAGCTCAGCTTTTTCCTTGGATTATTCCAAATCTCTAATCCAATCGTTTAGTTGCGCTTGTGATAGAACGTTTCTCTCGTTTTCCATTAAAAATTCATTACGACTTGATTTCCCATATTCAGATGATCTTTCAGGTTCTGCTGTTGACAACGAAACTGTATACGCAACTTCAGCTGAATGTGGAACTGGCAATGAAACGATAAGTATGTTAGCATACATCACTTTTCTTGATTTTCCAAAGCCAAGTACTTTTTTCATACAAATATAACAATCTTCTGAGTGGCATGTAGGTTCTCGCCATATCATTGGTAGATTAAACTACATGTATCGCCTGAAAAAGAAAAAAATTAAAAATTACTATTACATAAAAAGAAGCATAGTTTCAAAATTTTAATACGTACTTTGTTGATCCTGATTTCCATTGAACCAATATTATTCGACACAAGGAACACAAAATATTCGGAGTCCAGGGTTTATCAATATTTTTAGGCTCAATACCAAAATATTTTGAATATATATATTGGATCGAATCTCTAAACTGCCTCCGATGAACATATCTGGATCGTTTGTACACTCGTGTACGTATACTCATTTTATTTTTAAAAATAGCTTACGGTTTCTTATATTGTAATTATAAACTGTAACCGGCGAGTCTTACAGATATTATGAACTTTCAAGCGGCATTTATTCTTATATAGCTTGATCGCGAAAAAATAAAAAAGGCAAAACCTACCTAAACAAAAAAGGTCCTTCATATTAATGAGCCGGGAAAAAAATACTACCTGCTGTTGATGTTGGCCTTAAAAAAATTAATGAATTTACCAAGATATGTGTGTGTGCATGTAGGTATGCATGTTTGAATYAAATTTATTTGCATTATGAATTTTCCGCAACTAATTACCCTTCGAAAATCTGCCTGTATGCCACATGTTAAGCAAATTAACATGACTACAGGGGTTTCGAACCTGACACCTCTTGCTTTCGATGCAAACTACCTACTACAACAGTATTTGAGTATTATTTGATTTTTATTTATTGATTTTTTTTAAACGAATAGCGTTATTAGTTTATTCTAATGATTCGAAAACAATCCCACCCCTACTTTACACACTACATACGCATATACGTATTCATTGACTTTGCGCGACTTATTTATTTGATCATGTACAACTTTCCTATTTATCCATGGATTTTGTTCGTTGGTAGCTTAGCGCCAGCACGAATGGCCGAAAACTTTTATATGTCAAATTGATGTTACTTCATCAATAAATTATATCATCATTATATCTCATATACTCGTAAAACGCGTTTTGTTTAAGTGAATTTACTCTTTGTATTTCTAATTAATCATACCATATATCCGAGAAAGAGATGCATCACTTTATGAGTTAGACACTGGATATTTTGTTGCGGACAATTTTTGAAGAAGTGAGCTACTAAAGCAGATCGAGTCAGATAAGAATAGAAGAGCACGTCGCATTTAGTAGAAAATACCCGTCGCAAAGGTAAAAGTTTTGAAAGTGGACTTCTAGGATCAAGCATGCCATTTTCTATTCCATACAGTTACGATATGGCCTATAAACGTCTAATGGGCATAAAAAGTTTATGCCCGACAGCTAACGCCAGAAGTCAAGGTCAATAGAGTTTCGCTGAATTTCATGCTGCTCAAAGAACCAGAGAGTGGCAAACCGATTATTTTATTTCGATTTCGAGAAGATTCGTCGCACTCTGCAGTCCGACGCAGTTATAGCCTCATCTTAGGGCCATTACGTGGAACACTTTGTTGCCCACTTTATCAGCGAACAGGGTACGATTTTGTATTCAAATAGTTTTCATCCACCCGGAAGAGGACTTCCAGTTACGCTCTTTTATATCAATTGATGAAGAAATAGAAACACCTTTAAAAAACAATGTCATGAATAAAAAACGATCCATCAATTTTGAAAGTGGAGCAAAATCCGAGAAAATATTGGGAATGCTTTGGAACACATCGTCAGACTCATTGGAGTTCAAATTAAATTTTCATCCCCGAAAGCAGTTTTAGAAGATATTCGCCCGCCACCTAAAAAAAAATTGTAAGCATAGTTTTGTCCCTATTTGACCACTTTGGAATACTTTCCGAGTTTTTTTATTTGCTTAATTTGCTTGTGTTTCTGAGGTACTCCGTCGAAGGTTGGTCAATTGCAACATATATCCCTATCCCAGAGAAGCTACCTGAAGAAGTCAAATCTGTTATTGTTATATGTCCCGAGGTAAATAGCTATTTGATTGAATTTAATCGGGCAGTTAAGATTTTCTTAAATCTCAGTCAGAAGCATAATAACAGTGTTTCATATTAACCGAGGTATTCGATTAGACGTTGAAACACAAGTCGAGCCCGATATATACCTTGCTAAAGCAGTGCAGAATGACGTTTCCTCAAGAGAACTGAAGACGTTAATGAATAATGAAAGCCTTCCGAAGTATTGTGCCATCCCTCCATTATCGCCGTATTTAGAAAACAAAGGAGTCATAGAATTCGATGGCGCATTAATGAAGTCATTGTCGTATCAAAAGTTTGCCATATGGCGCCAGTTGGAGAGTCCAGCCAGGTGCTTCTCCTTCTGGTCTTTCCAACGAAGTGGAGGTCTTCCTCTTCCACTGCTTCTCCAGCAGGTACTGCGTCGAAAACTTTCAGAGCCGGAGTGTTTTCGTCCATTTGGACGACGTGATACCAGCGTAGCCGCTGTCTTTTAATTCACTGAACTATGTCAAGGTCGTCGTTTGTCTCATACACCTCATCGTTATATCGAATGCGATATTCGCCGTGTAAAGGACCATACATTTTTCGCAGAACCTTTCTCTCGAAAAATCGGCGTCGACTATTTAGATTTGTCACCTTGCGTACCTCTGCACCATACATATGTATAGCAGGACGGGAATAATGAGTGACTTGTATATCTCTATACTTCTCTATTGCTAACTTAGTCCAAAATAGCACCTATTGGCAGGAGATATTCTGCATTGGATTTCGAGGATGACATTATTATTGGTGTTGTTACTGGTTCCAAGGTAGACGATCTATGACTCCGAAGTTGTGACTGTCAACAGTGACATGTTAGCCTATTCGCGGGTGCGACGACTGTTTATTTGATGACAGGAGATATTTCGTCTTACCCTAGTTCACTACCAGACCCATTTGCTTCGCTTTCTTATCCATTCTGCAAAAGGCAGAACAAACGGCGTGGATGTTACGGATATTATCAATATCATCGGCGTACGCCAGCAGTTGTACACTCTTATAGAAGATAGTACCTTCAATATTTAGTTCAGCAGCTCGAATTATTTTCTCCAAGAGCAGATTGAAGAAGTCACACGAAAGGGAGAGGAAACCTTGTTTGGTATCGAAGGGCTCGAAGAGGTTCTTTCCGATCCTGAAGGAACTTTTGGTGTTGCTCAACGTCAGTTGACACAGCCGTATTAGTTTTGCGGGGATACCAAATTCAGACATCACGGCATAAAAGCCGCCTTAAAATCGACGAGGAGGTGGTGTGTATCGATCGTCTTTTCACGGGTTATTTTCGGCGCATTTTCCAGGCCTAGAGCCGCCCTTATAAAGTCCAATAAGGTTGTTGACTGCGGGCTATAATCTTTCACACGTTCATACATTCGAAAGAACTTTATATACGATGTTTAGGAAACTTGTGACACTGTAGTTGGCACAGATTGTCGGGTCTCCTTTTTTGTAGATTGGACAGAGCAATCAGTTCCCTCTTCCATCGGCCCCCGCCGATCTTTTGTTATTCAGGCGGGTAATTGCAATTCAAACTTCTCTCTCTCTCCTCTTCCTTTTCTTCTACCTTCGCTATTTCTTCATCTAATGCCATCTGAAAAACATCTTCAACATTTATGTTTTATGCCTCCATGGCCTCTGGCAGTAGTGATTGCAACTTAGTTTTTAGACCATTTGCGCCAAACCGAGTTGCTCAAACTCTTTTTTCAGTAGTGGAATCTTCCAATCGCTAAACTTTACCGTTTTCGAATAATTATGTATATACTTGGGAATTTGTTTGCCAATCCCACTTCTGACACCAATTGTAACGGATTTCTCAATAAATCGTCTACCTTGTAAATCACCTTTGAGTTCAATCAATCGACTGTTAAATAAAAGTCCCAATGTTATTACTATACACTTATCTTTATTTCTAATTGCAAAAACTTAACACTTTACTACTCATTATCCGAATTAAAAGCCTGTAATTTATATATGAATTGCTCTTAACGCGGCTGCATCTAACTAGAAATTTGTCTGCTGCACAATCCTGCAACCCTTATATAGTCGATTTTTATGAAAACATCATCACTCAAACATTCTGCAATAACAATATAACAAATGGTTACCAAATTTCGCTGTCTACCCTCCGTACCGTCACATAGTTCTATTAGTCCTATACTGAGAAAACCTCACTACTTGTGTATGAGGATTATTTTGTGAGGGTATTCTTGCTCAAACCTCACCAGAAAATAGCATAAAATACTCACCATTTGAGGTGAAAGCACTCTGCTGTGAACCAGCTATTTTACAAAAACCAACAAGGCAAAATAATGAAATGGACAACCAAGAAAAGTGAGTAATTCCTGAAATCGATTAAATTTGGTGCATATATAATAATTTCATTTCTTTTTAGAATTTCAAAATGTGAAAGAACAACTCAGGACGTGTTGCAACATTTCAGGGTATTATTGAAACATAAATATCTTTTTATCCTCATATGTATTAAATACATACATACATATTTACAAATAAAATTTTGCTTGAATAGAAATAAGTATATGTCTTCTTATTCATACTTAGAAGGAAGGAATATGTACAAACACCGTAAATTACTTATTTATTGTAATAGATAAATACTTATATTTATAATAGATAACGCCTTTGAAAGAATAGTTCCTCCATTATATTTCAATAAAATAATTGCAAATTTCTTTAAAATATTGAAATTATCAGAACAAACACAACCGATATGGTATGGTGAGGTTGGCTTTCACACATCACAAATTTGTTAGGTAATTGTGAGCATATGAGCTTTTGAAATCACGCCAGCATACGGAAAACTTTACAAATAACAAAAACCTCATAATAGTGAGGTGCGGATTTTTGTGAGGACATTAGAATCGGGCTATATATATGGCCTTTATATAACATATTTTATAAGTTTATATAATTTCAATTGAATCTGGTAATTTCCACCTTATTGATATTTGTATATTTAGATTAGTTAACAAGATTTATAGATAACAAATACATTTATAGAAATTCAATGTGCTGGAGCAACATCGTTTGTAATGAACTATGGCTTTATCGATTTAAGTCATTCTCAATATTAATGTCTCATTCTTTTCAACTGTGAATGAATTTTGGTAGTAAAAAGAAGCATTGCTCTATGTTGAAAATATTTAGTTTTGTATTTCTTTAAGATTAATTGAACCACACGGAAAGTAAATACGAAGGCATTCTTTCGGCAAGTAAATACAATAATAAATGACAAACATTTTTTACGAGAGCACATAAAAATGGGGATAGAAAAAAACGAAGTTGTTGCAGAATCAAGTGAAGATGATAGTGGAGTTGTGCACACAGGAAACGGAAGAATTTCAAATTCCCTATTTGTAAGGTACAAATATAATTACGTTGCATGGACACTAATGACTATTAGTGCACCTTTCATCAATACCATAGTAGCGACTGATAACATCATCACCTCATTTATAATCTTAGATAAGGTTATGCTATCGCTTCATACGTTAAGATGTGTTGAATAATATTTTATGGTTTTATTATTAACATTACCAGACCGAACGCTTCTCCTGGTTACTGGCTGTGTTTGCTACTTCCACTTGCCTTTGCATCAAACTTAATACACGAAAACAAATGTAATGGACAAGTTTCCACGCAACCCATACTCACAATTGCCGCAATCGGTATGAGCATAGATACCCTCTGTTTGTTTCTGTATATATTCTGCAAGACGGGTTTGCTGCTGAAACTATTTATTTCATTTGTACCTGGCTTTATTACCGCAATACTATACAAGGTTTTATTGCAACAGTCATGGAGCTATGGACTATTTTGGGGCTTTATCATAACCTTCATTTATCAGAATTCTTATATTCGTGTGCTACGTGGATTACCCGGTTGCTTTAGTTTTGGCGAGGCATCTATACTCGTTCAGGGGTTGATGCTTTTCCTATTAAATGTAATTTTAAAGTTTTTTACTTTATTGCTGAAAACTGAAAACAGGAGTACATTTGAAGATCTAAATATTATAATGATGGTTTGTAAATAAAAATTAAACGTTATGTATTTTTAACATTTTATTTTATTTTTTCAGTGTGCACTAACCTATCTTTTTGCGATGTGTGGATTACTATCGGCTGTCAAAGTTCTACGTGAGCCTACCTACTTTTATGCTTTAATGTTTATTTTAGTTATAGGCGTAACAACCACTCCTATTACGGATCCAGTGCCAATAACTTTCTTATTTATTTTTATAGTACAAGACCAAGTCAGGGTAAGTTTAAATAATTTTGCAATTCGAAATTTGGGATAATTTTGAATTTACAGGTATACATAGTTGTTTTCTACGTAATAATGGTGGTGTTGACAATTTTGACTGTGTGGTGGCAAATTGCCAATGAGGAAAAAGCTTCCACAAGAATACGAAAAATATTTCATGCACTTATTGTGCTTGTGTTCATACCTGGAATAATTTATCAATGTAGTTTTCTATATATTGCTACAGGAGTAGCTTTTGCAATTTTTACTGTTTTTGAACTAATTCGTGTTTGCAACATACCGCCTTTGGCTATACCTTTGCGCAGAGCATTTGCATCATTCTCCGACGAAAAAGATGCTGGTTTGCTCGCATTAACACCATTCTGTCTGCTTATTGGCTGTTCCATGCCTCTTTGGATAAGCTCTTGTCCTTGTGGGGAAAATGAGTTACTTTCAATTTTAGCTGGAGTTCTGACAATCGGATTCGGCGATACTGCTGCCAGTGTGGTTGGTTCGAAATTTGGTCGCATTAAGTGGCGTAGTAAGTATTTATAATTTATTCAATAAATTTGTAACACGATTTTAACATAATTAATTTCGTAGGTTCGAAAAAATCTTTAGAAGGCACTTTAGCATTTATTGTGATAACTTTTTTGGCAACAATGTTTTTAAACTACTTTGGTTATACTAAATTGTCGCCTATGAAGTGGTTTAGCACATTAACAGCAATATTAACAACTTCCTTGGTTGAGGCGCATACAGATCAAATCGATAATTTAACCCTTCCCATAATATTTTATATAATTGTGAATATATTTTAAGATTAATTACCGTCTTGACTGAAAAGTACTTAGAATTTATTTTAGTTAGGTATACAACTTTTAAATATTTAGATATGAAAGTTTTAGTCCAATAAACTGAAAAGTCAGAATTTGGTAAAGAAAATTATTTTTACATATGTACTAATACAGTACTATGTACATATATTTAAATTGATGATCCCACCATAATAATTATTCTATATTCCATATATGGGTAATGTAGTAGATGTCATGAATTCAGAACATACCAATGTTTCAAACAGAAGCTGTATCGAGTTTGCGAGTATACGAGTAACTAAAACTAGTTTTGTCGGTTTTGTTATCAGAACAAAGCAAGAATATAGTCGTTAACAGAATTGAAATGTAAGTTAAGAAAATAATTTTTTATTTTTATGAATTAAGCTATCTATTTCTATAGGTAAAAATATAAGATATATATATATATATATATATATATATATAAACAAAATGGTATAATTATAGAGTTAATGAAAAGAATTCATATATTTTAAGGCATTTATAAAACGTAATTTAACATCATAAAAAATGCATCTTTATTTATTCGATAATGTAATATAAATCTGTAAAATAAGCAAGTAAATACATTCAAGAATACAAGTAAAAGTATTAAATATTCACTTACGATTCCCCTCGGACATCTAGGGGTTACTACGAAATCTTAATCTTTTATCTTTTCGTTTCTTTCTTTCTTACTTCAATTAAATAAGAGATAAAATTGCCCAACTCAGTTTAATACAATTGCTTTCATATTTATTGTTTTGGAAGTTTTATCATAGTAGCAAACAGCGGATTGGTTGTCGTTTGTTCGTAAAAACGAAATCCAATCAGATCCTGTGACACCATTGGAAACCAGAATTGATCAGTCATTAATTTACCCTAGAACTCGTATATTATATTAATATAACTTTATGGTTTCCGTCATACATTTCGATAATATTGTGAAACATACCATATAACTTCTTAAACTATTTATGGGAACATAATGTTTTAGACAAAATATTAGTACTTTCCAAAAATTGTAAAAATCAATCCATATTCACAATTGCGTCGTGTAACGGTTTGATTTAATTTGCAACCTTACTCATTTTCTCTCGTTTTATACATTTACGTACGCCTTAAGATATTATGTAAATTTTGTCGTTATAGTTTTCAGTTTGCATTAAATTAAACTTACATAATTCTACTTAAAACGCTTATTTTAAATTTCTATGGCAACGCTATTCCAGCTTTTAAGATGTGGGTAGGATGGATATGACTATGCTTTCAATTAAAATGATTTGAAGGCAATGGTGATTAGGATAAAGTGGTACCGCATCCGAACTGCTCGTAGGAAAGAATGGTCGCATCTAAAAATAAAATTGTATTCTATATTTGACACCCGACATATCTTTCGATTTGATTCTAAAGAAAATGTTTGACAATTTGCAAGCTAAGCTTCCAATTTCTAAAAACGTTCAGTACTTCTACTGGAAAATGATTTTTTTAATCAATTTTATATGCAATACGCCACCTCATAAAATCTTCCAATATAAAAATTGTGTATTCTTCGCTGACAAAGTTGAGAAGATGGATTACCGAAAACGTTGTTGCAGTGAGAAAAACAATATAAAGATTTGTTATTTATAATTTTTAATATTTTCTATAGATAAAAAATATTTTTCAGTATTTATTAAATTATAAAGAATAATGTGATTTTTAGTTATAAACATTTAATATTGGTAATACAATTTTTATAATGTTAAACGAAATATAAAAAAAAATTAAATCTTATATCTAATATAGAGTTATTTTCTCTTTTATGTCATTATTATTTATGTTTAATTACGAAGAAAGTATTAGAAATATGTAAAAGGTATATGAAATATATGTCTTAAGTACAAAATATAAATTGGAAAACTGTATGCAAACAGGCAATTGTGAAATTGTGTTATTTTTAAGAATTAGCGCCCATTGCCTGCTTCAAAAGCACAAAAATTTCTTATACTGAAGTTGAACAATTACTCCGCATTCGTTTTACTCTTAGTAGTTAAGTTAATTTTTATAACAAATAAGTGTAAGGCGAACATTTAAGTCTCAAATAAAACAATTGTCGCATACTATCGACTAATTACGATGCAATAAGAGAGACTGTAATATAAAGAGGCAACACAAGATATTTTTCAAATTTAAAAATTAACAGTATATATGAATACATCACTGTTGGACGTGGAGTTATATTGATTTGAACGACAGATAAATAAATGGCACATTGCAGAGCATAACAACAAAATATATTTTATATGATATGGGGCGACAACTTGAAGACATATGTATGTACATATAAGTACGTACGTCTTTAAAAACACTTAGAGAATACATAACGTTTTCAAGCTAGAAATATATTAATTCCAGTTAAGATTAATAATGTGACGTTATATTCGGATACTGAGTTCGTTCAATTTCATGTAAACCATAACTCAATTATATTAGGTTGTGTGATAGCCCAAAATGTCAAAATCAGCTATTTTGTTTTTATGATTCAAAAATATATTTTTCAAAGATTTCAGTCAATGAAAATGTTTTTTTTTAGTGATAACGGAATACGAATAGATTTTAAACAACACAAAATCATCATGTTTTTTATACTTATGTACATTTGACATATGCATATGCGCATACATTGCAAGAACGGCGATAAGTAGATATATAAAGTTTATATGAATAAGGATTTTGCTGTAGATTATACTACATTACAGAGCAAGTGTGTATGTATATGTATGGATCATCGTCACTGAAATATCAAAAGGCACTCAACACTCCTTTAAATTTGTTTTCTTTTATGCATATAAACACTATTTATATGGGAATGAATGGGAAATATAATGAATAAAGAATACTCAATTGTGAAATATTACGATTGATATGATTTTATTCTGGCCTTCCTACATGTTAATATCGTATGTGCATATGTACACATATTTTGCTGGATAGATCAATGTATAATTACAGCTGAATTTTTATTTTGAATCCCTTTGGAGTGATGCCATCTCTTATTATATAAAGTGGCATTCAGAAATGTTTCAATAAGTTGCATCATATCTCTGCTAATCAATTTATTTTATGAACAGTGTAGGCAATTCGTTAACAGTATCATATTAGCTTGCCACCCAATTAAGGTTTTTGATAAATTCTGATAAGATTTGGTATTAAAGAAGCTATTCCAAGAAGACAAAGAAAGGAAGGTATTATCAATATTTACTATCCTCACCTCATGCTCAGACATATGCAAAAGTAGTATATGTTAGATTTGACCAATTTAAGGATTTGGAAAATCGCAATGCGCTGAACGACTGTACACTGTGAATACTGAGTACATAATGTATGAAATAAATGTTATAATTCCCATGTTACCATTTTTTTATTACTTTATTTTTATCTTAATCTTATAAATGCAATTTTCCGTAATTACTCGAATACTCGTTTGTAGGCTCAGTTTTCATCATCAATTTCGTAGTTGTATAAAATGTTTACGTAATTATGTTAAGTTAGGGTATGCATGCTCGTAAATTGTACGTCAATGCTTAAAAGGAAATGTATAAAATGACGTTGCGTATAAAAAGTGTACAAATGTTTCTAATCGTTAATCAATTCATATTTCGATGTGTTTATTCATATTTCCGAATTGATGTGTTGGGTGTGAGAGTGAATGCTCTTTTCCAATACGTTTTACATTTTAGTTGCTGCTAACAATAGTCGGCAGATAATGGAGTGTTTGATTTTAACAAAAATACAAATTTCTTTCGTATATTAATACAATTAAAAAATTAACTTCCAATTAATACATTAATTTCCCGAGTCTTCTCCATCTAATGATTCATCTTGCACCGAGGAACTATCATCGCCCCGTTTCGACGATGATGGTGTGCCAGTCAAGCGGCTCGAACTTAAACCAATACCTCCACCAGCTCGCCTGCAAAAAAAATAAAGCATTATAAAAAGAGATCAAATGAGAGAAGAAATCTTAACCAACACTTTTGCATGCTCAAAACAAAGCATAATCAAAAGATTTGGTTCTTCTTTAAGACAATTATGATTCATACAAATAATGTACAAATGTTTGCTTTGGTCTGCGGGGAATGATTCCTGTGGCATGCGGGATAAGTAATGCTGTGTTATATGAGCGTTATCAAACAAAAATAGCATGCTTCCATTCAATAACGCTTACAGTTATAATACTTTTTTAGAATCGACATATTTTTATTACGAAAAAGGTATGGGTATATACATTTTAGTACAAATCTTCTACGATAATAGTCACTTTAGACTGTAGATAAAAATAACATAAAACTTTTTATTATATATGGGATTTATAAACGAAACTTCGAAGAAAAACAATCAACACTTTCCTAATGTATTCTTCCTCTTGTTAGCGTAATTCGAATGATGTAGACAACATAAATGGATAAAGAAGTGCTGACCTAAATAATCTTTAGTACGTTGCATACGTTACGCCATAACTTTTATATTTAGTCTGATTAAATTAAAACAAAACACAATATATGTCAATAATTCTATTCTCTGTGGTTGGTTATTTGAATCACTTTCAAGATATTTAAAAACGAAATATAAGTTTTTTTGAGATAAGGGAATTATGTAAGTTCATTTCAGTATTTAAGTTGGCTTGTGATATCTGTGGATAGGGTCAAATAATCTAAAATACGTGCGAGAACTCAGAAAGGCAAAACAAATTAGACACCCTTACATTTTAAACTTTTCCCCATTTTAAATATTTTTAACCGCCGCTTTACAAGCCTTCACAATTCATTATAAGTGAAGCGTCCTTCTTAGGTGAATAGGCTTTAGCCTTTTCCGTTTCTGCCACTTGCATCGATCTATAGTTTGGCATTCAAATGGCATTTTTAATTTTATTTTAAATTGTTTAAGCATAATCATCAATGAACATGTGAAATAACTATACATTAAAATTGAGAAACTTGTAATTGGTGAAAAATATATATTAATATAATTTCTCTGAATATTTATGACTATAATGTATGTTTCTAGATCTATGTTTTATTAATGGTTTTCCTTACCTTAATTTTGTTTTTAGGGAGTTGATCTCCCTGTTCATTGCTTCCTGACTTTCAATCATATCCTCACATTCACGTTGATATTTGCGCTTTTGTGTTTTTTCCTTCTGCAATTCCTCTTCGGTTTCGTCAAGATTTCGCTTAAGTAGCTTCATGCGACTATTAAGCTATATTAAGAATAATTTTATTAGTATAATTCGTAACTAATTGTCATATTTACAAGAACGTACTTTATCGATTTGCTCCTTGTATTGATCAGCATGGCGACGTTCATCTTCAATATTCATTGTTAGCTCTTTAACCTTTTTATCCATTTTGCGATTGGCTTTCTGTTGCAACAGGCGTTCTTTTCCTTCATTTTCTAACTGCTCTTCAAGATTGGCTATTTTCGCTTCCAGCGTTGCGATTGTAGCCTTTACTTTAGTGCGCTGTGCCGTCTCAATCTCGGTTAATTTGGCTTTGAGTTCTTTGTTTTGGCGCTCAAGTAATGCACGAGTATTTTCATTCTTTTGAGAATTCGATTTTTCATTTGCCAACTCAGTCGAAAGTTGCTCAATGGATAACTGCGCCTTACGACTACGATCTAATAGCAATTCTGAATTAGATTGTTCTTCTTCCAATTCTTCTTCCAACGTAGCGATTCGAGCCTCTAATCGACGTTTTTCATCAATCATAAGTGAACCTTTGCTGGCGTTATTTGCAATTTCTTCGGCGAGTTCATCACGTTCGGTTTCGGCAGAACGACGAGCTCTTTCGGAGCTTGCTAAATCTTCTGTTAATTGGAGTAGCTCCGCCTCCAAAGCTTTAACTTTACGTTCAGCTTCTTTACTTGCAGCTTGTAACTCTTCTTTCGCTGCCTTGGCTTCCTCAGCATCGCGCAAAGCATCCTTAACTTGGGCTTGAAGTTTTTTAGCATGTTTCAACGCGTCTTCTTTGACCTTGTTATGCATTTCCATTGTTGTTTCCATCTCCTTTAAATCCCCTTCTAGCTTCTTCTTTGCTGCAACAGCAGCAGTGCGCTGTTTTCGTTCCTCATCTAACTCGGCCTCCAAGTCACGTATTTGTTTAATAAGACCACGGCGCTTCTCTTCCGCTTGCTCTTCCTTCGCTTGTAAATCTCGCTCGAATTGTGAACGCAATGCTTGCATATTCACTTCCAGGCGCAACTTGGCATCTTCGGTCAATTGTAAATCGTCTTCAAGTTCTTCATTTTGGGCCTTCAATTCAGCCAACTGGGACTCCAATGCACGTTTGGCTTTTTCTAGCTCATGTACGTTTTTATCCGCAGTACCTTGCGAATTTGCCAAATCATCTAGTTCGTTCTGAAGCACTTTTCTTTTGTTTTCTAAATCTTCGATTTTATCGTAAGCTGCATCTAATTCACGAGTTAGTGAAAGCACCTTTGTTTCTTTTTCGCGGGCTTCACGCTCTGCAGTGTCACGCTCTTGAGCTATTTGCTCCGAAATGGCTTTTTCCTCCGCAAGTATTTTATCGAAATTCTTTTGTTTCTTCTCCAGGTCAAGCACCTGTAAAAACGAAAGCAAAAATTAAATACGTTTTCGAACATTCAAAAATTCAAATATCAATACCTTTGTACGTTGTGCCTCCAATTCAATGGTTGTGTCCTCCAGTTCCGACTGTATCTTCTTTTTACTTTTGTCTAAACGATCATTTTGAGCTATCAATTCTTTAACTTGTCTTTCCTGGGCTTCAAGCTCTTTATTCAAACGTTTTTTGGCCTCCTCTAATTCTTTAGCCAGATCGGCATCCTCTTCTGCCTTTTTCTTAATATCCTGCATTTGTGCGGTTAACTCGACCAATTTTCTTTCATAGTTACGCTTCGACTCTTCATCCTCTTCTAGTTGTTCCTGCAATGCTTCTTTTTCTGATTCTAATTGCCTCAGTTTTGAGCTCAACGATAACTTTTGCCGCGTCTCTTCCTCAAGTAATTGTTGCGCCTCTGTGAGTAGAGATTCCATATTACTAGCAGATTTTATAGCAGTCGATGCTTTCAATTCAGCTTCTTCCAACTGATTCGTTATATTTTCTGCCTCCTGTTGCAATTTTGTGCATTTCTCTTGGAGTTCCGATCGGGCACGTTCGATTTCAGCTAGTTTTACCTACACATTATTAATATTTATCAATTAGGTATATTGTACAGTACATATGTATATACAAACAAACATATGTATATATGAATGTAGAGTAAATAATATCATTATATGAGTAATACATAAATTTAACAGAAATTCAACTAGTTTTTATATAACATCAAGTAGTCCGATCAGTCTAAACGTTCAAAGCGAACGGTAAATTATATCATAAAAATACCTCAGGCAAAAATTGTAGAACATAAAATTACCTATGAAATTGCTTTTTACTCATATCTTAAATATGGCTTAGAGGATTTTAGCTGCCTTTTTTTGTGAAGAAGAATATGCTTGAAAGAATGTAGATGCTCTAATTGTGAAATCGAGATTTTATGCGCACACAATTTATGTAGCTATAATTTTAAATTGAAACTGCAAGCACTGCTAAGAATACGACACGACGAATATTATTGGAAATGATATAAAGGTAGTCTATAAACCACAAAACTCGGAGCTGAGAAACTGGATACATCCAGTTTGGTTAACATGATAACAATGCAATATGGATATAGGTATGCCACTGTAACAGCAAGCGATAATTCTTACATACACAAATACATACGAATTGTATTCAGAAATTAATATATTGATATTTGGAGAGTACAATTGTCATTTTTTGATTACGTCGATATATATTACATGCCCCGGTACGATACAATTTTCGGCAGTTCATTGCTTACTTTGCCTATAGTAGCCGCTAAGGTTAGACGTATTTTTATGAACTTGCGATTTTCGTTTTGTCGTAAATTCTTGGCCAAAAACAATACGGTGACTATGCATCAGTCGCCATATTCACCAGACATGGCTCCGTGTGACCTATTTCCGAAAATAAAGAGACACTAAAGGCTTCTCTAAAAATCGGGTTTGAGAAAGAGCATAAGTGCTTAATTTCGAATGGGGATTATTTGGAAGGCGTCCACATAAAAGCAGACGTTTGAATAAATATTTTGTTTCAAAAAAACGAAAATGCCCGTTATTTTTTAGCACACCTCGGATATACTCTTACGATTACTATATATATGGCCTAAATATATACATACAAATTTAAATGTTATACCTGAAGTTCAGCAATTTGCGATTCCGCTTGTTTTCTTCGGCGATCATTTTCTTGACGTGAACTATTAACGCTACGCAATTCGGTAGCTAAATCTGCATTTTCCGCCTCCAAAGTGCCCTTCGATTTTTCCAGCACTGCTTTTGCTTTGCGCAAGTTTTCTAATTGATCATTAATAGCATTCAGTTCTTGTGAATGTTTGTGCCGCATTTCAGATAAAAAGGATTCATGATTGACTGCCTCATCTTCTAGTGATTTCTTCAGGGTGGCCAGTTCTTGTTCCCGTTTTGAACGTAACTCTTGTTGCGCTACAAGGGAGATAGAAAAGCACGACATTCAATTCAATTGTATAATAAAAAATATATATATTCAGAAAATATACGTATATGTAGTATATGCATATAAAAATAAATACCTCAAATATTTGTATTTTAGAACAAATAGTCATGTGAACAGCTTTCATAACTTATTGATCAAAATTTCAATGGTATCTTGTGCCTCATTCATACAAGAGATTTTCTTTACTCACCAGCTGTTGTATCCAAAGAGTCTAGGAGTTCGTTTTTCAGTGCCTCCAGCTCCTCGCCTAAATCTCGGCGTATTTTTTCTGCCTTCGCTCTAGCAGCCTTTTCGGCTTCCAAGTCTTCCTGAATTTCCGCCAATTGTGATTCTAATTCGCGCTGCGCCTTTTGCGCAGTGGCTTTTGCCGCAGATTCCTCGTCGATACGCATTAGGGTTTGCGTCAACTCCTCTTCACGTTTCACCAATTGTGTTTGCATATCCTCCACTTGAATACGACGCTCATTTAATTGCTCCTTCAAGTCGGCCACTTCGGTTTCAATTTTACGCTTGGAACGATCGGATTCTTGCCGTTGTTGCTGGTCTTTATGTAATCGTTCTTCTAATTCAGCTATTGTAGCTTCATGCTTAGCTTTTAATTTACTTAAGTGCTTTGCTTTCTCCTCTTCCTCCGCTAATGTTTGAGAAAGGTCATTGGCACGTTCCTCTAGTATTTTCTTCTCTTTTAACAACTTCTGATTTTGATCATCAGTAACAGCCAAATCTTCTTCGTACTTTTTGATTTTAGCGTCTAACTGTACCTTTTCTAGTTGTAATTTCTGTCGAGCCGCCTCTTCTTCTTCCAATTGTTCTTCGAGATCTTGAATATTCAGCTCTAACTTCTTCTTCTCTGCTCCGAGTGCAAGTGACCTTTCTTCTTCCTCTTCAATACGCGCTTCCAATTCTTGCATCATATCCTCTAACTCTTGCTTGCGAGCCATCAAACGGGAACGTGACTCTTCAGCTTCAGCACAAAGTTCAATTTCAGCTTGTAATTGTTCAGCTAATGTGGTCTTCTCCTCCAGAGCTTGTTGATATTTACGTTCATACTCCTGTGTGCTTTTCGCCAAAACATCTAGTTTTTCACGCACCTGTTTAAGTTCATCTTCTTTTTGTACTAGTTTTTCTTCTTGTTTAGTTACTTCTAACAAGGGCTTTACTTTTGTGTATAGGCGCCACCACTGCCAGTTGCGTAACTTCAGATATGCCGCACAATTTCGTTGTATTATACGGATTGCGTTTAACTGTTGTAGACGTTTTTGGTAATTGCGGCGTGCTAGATAGCCACGACAGAACGCTTGAAAATTCACAATTAAATCGGTGATCTTGTAATCACGTTCTTCTTCTAGATGAGCCAAAACGCCTGCTCGGAAAAAAATTTTCGACTGACCAACTCTAAACAGGTTCGTGTCCAATTCTAAAGCTTGAATCATTTTCTCGCATGCTTTCTTCCCGTCCATGAAGCCTTTGGGTATAACGTTGGGTGTAAGTAGTTCATAGCGTTGCCGGAACTCTTGGAAGGGAATGCGATTGGGGAAGCCCTGACGACAAATACGAATACCTTCCAATACACCATTGCAGCGTAACTGATCTAAAACCAAAGGCGCATCTATTTTGCCAGCACGCTTTTCATGATTTGGAATAATGCAACGGACAAAGTTTGGATTTGTATTTCGTAAGGTATCCATTAGTTTGGCAAGTTGTTCTTTGTACAAATGTGATACAGTTCGGAACATTCCCTTACGGGTGCGGGCACCAAATTGAGTGTCGGTTAAAGCTTGTTGAGCCATACCCACAATTTCAGCGTCCTTCCAAATATTCACAACAAAAGGATCCTGCGATGCTTGCAACAGCGAAACAATATTTTCATTCAACGGATCCATATTCTTCATTAACCATTTGGCAGCCGAGTAATCAACCTTGCCAGCATAGTGAACAATAGCAAAGTCAGCTATGCCTCGAAAATCTGTTTTCAAAAATTTCGGATGCATGGAATGTGCTGATACAAGTTTGTCAACAAACGTTTTGTCTGTAGCCTTTGGGAACCAACATTCTTCGTCCAATAATGCCATTATACCGCCAGGTTTATCAATTAAATCAATCGTTGGTTGTAGATCTAATCCAAAGTCAATAAATTTCCATTCAATACCCTCCCGTTGATATTCCTCCTGTTCCAAAATGAACATCGTGTGATTAAAGAGTTGTTGCAATTTTTCATTGGTATAATTAATGCAAAGCTGTTCGAATGAATTCAATTCGAATATCTCAAAACCAGCCATATCAAGTATACCTATAAAAGATGCACCCTGGCGTTTGGTACGATCCAACGATCGGTTAATACGGTTTACCAACCATTTGAACATACGTTCGTAGCAGGCTTTGGCAATAGCTTCCACAGCGAATTCTACTTGCTCTTTTGTTTGCGCTTTTGTAACGAAATCACGGCCCACCTTAATACGGGGTGTTAGGAAGGCTCTTGTCATATCGGTTACACTTAAACCAAGTAAATGAGCAATCTTTTGAGCCACAGTGTTGTCTGGAAGCGTTGCTTGATCATTATTACGCTCTTGTCGGAATTTCATACAGCCAAATAACAGTACAGCACTAACTATGCGGAATATAGAATTGAAGTCTTCGCTGGTCATTCCCATGATGTTCATAGACTTAACTGTTGCCTGAAATTCAGCAAAATCATCTACGCCAGGCACAGGTAGGCTTCCATTTGAAAGAAACGGGTATGATTTGATATCGTCGAGTATGAACTTTTCTCGTTGTTCCGGCGATGCACCGGCAAGTAATTGATAAAATATGTGGAAAGTTCGTTCATCCTTCGCTTGGCGAATTGCACGAGATTTTTCCAACAGGTAAGTTTCAATATTCGCACCCGAAATATAACCCGACGCATCGAAGTTTATGCGTATAAATTTACCCTAAATATGGTAAACATAGTCATTAAAACTGCATAACAATTATTATAAATTAAAATAATAATAAGAATAATAAAAATAAACAAATATAATAAAAATTGTGAAGAATTAATAAGTGGTGGTCGACTGCCTATGAATTATTTAGCAACCGAAAAACAATTGTTGCCGTCCTCGACGATGTACATATTTCAAATTTTGATCAATTATTTAGTTCGAGCAAATTAACTTTGAAAAAATGTTTACATTGATTTTTAATACTTAAGCCCTTACATATATAAAAGTATCAGTAGTGCAATTATGTTTTATTTTTTAAATGGATACTTACAAAACGAGATGAATTATCGTTTTTTACAGTCTTCGCATTTCCAAAAGCTTCCAATATAGGATTAGCTTGCAAAAGTTGTTGTTCCAGTTCACCCTGTGTAATAAATCATTTTCATTAGTTTTTTATTTACGATAATTAGGTCAAATCAAATTAATTGACGATCTTTCGAATATAAACTATTTATAAAATTAAGGCAATATATTGAAAAATTAAAATTATATTGATGACTTGAATGGATGGTTTTAAGTATGTCGGCGTGTAAACATTCCTTGGCCTCCCTCATTGGGAATATGGACAAAAGCTTAAATAAATCTCCAAAATAGTTTTCTTCGTTATTTTGTGACTTATCTGATACGTCCATGCATGTCTTCAATATAATTATTCAATATTCACTGAACCGTGCATATAAAAATTATCTAATGTTAATTACAATTTTTTGGTGTTCTCGTTGTACATTTGCAGAGAAACAAACTACTTATCACAACTAAAAAGAACAAAATATTTAGTATTAAATATGAAGATTCAATTAAAAATGGAACTATCAGGGGTGTTGTGGAATCTGATAGTTTGATCGGATTCAAAAAAGCAGTAGGTGTCATGAATTCCGACATTATTGGTTTGATATTCGAAACACAATTTGTATCGGTAAGTTAATAAATCAAGTTCTTTTATTGTTACGAATTGATTTATCTTTACTTCTATAGAAGAAAACACTCGAAATGTCTTAGTTATTGGGTTTTGGAAAAAAATGCGGATATTTAAAGGGGGAGCCTGCTCGATCGATTTTTTGATGTTTTTTTTTTTTGGTAGGGAATGATTGATTGAAATTTCGAAGTGTTTATAGTTATATATTTAAACATCACCCGAACATTTTTTGGATACGAATTCTTTGATATTGTGCCTTAGGGAAGCAATTGCCCGATGCATCTCGCGTTTGCAATTGTCGGACGACAGGAAGGATGCAGGTCGCAATTTCTATCGGAAACGAAAAATTCAAAAAAACTCATATTTGTTAATAACTTATGTATGTATGTATGTTCAAGTTGAACTAAGAAAATCCCAAAAAAGTGTATAATCCTAAAAAAAAAAACAAATTTAAATTAAAAAAAATTGTTTTTGGCCAAAAAATGTTACTTTATGTTGTTTAAACATATGTTCAAACTTAACTTTTCTTAGTTTTTTTTTTGTTTAAAGAAAGGATAATTTAACTTTGCCCCGATTCCATACGTTTATTTTTTTTTCAATCCTGCTCGCCAATTAAGAAAAGTCGTAAAAATGAAAAAACGAAACAAATGCGTCGTTATTCATTCGATGAATGTTATCTCTTAAAATCTTTCTTTAATTCGGAACTCATTAAAAACTTTAATAGGATTGCTTCCAAATATATTATTTTGTAAGTTTTGTCACATTAGTAAACACCTGGTTCGAATATTGGTTTTGATATGTTCGAAAAGACGAAAATCCAATCAGATTCTGTGTCACCATTTATAATTAGAATTCTGACAGCTAAGCAATTCTGTCTTGGATTCCACAACATCCCTGTATAATTTTTACAAAACCATCCTCAAATATTAGTGTACTTACATATGTATATGTAAATGCTTAGATAAGTGTATAATATCCGTATGAGTGCTTTGTATTTACATATATATATAAATCAGCACAAAACTACCAAAATGGTCTACTTGCAATAGATGTATTGATATAACAACTACGAAAATACCTTCGACATCATACATCGGCATCCAATATTTTCTTTCAATTTGGGAACTTCTTTTCGAGTTTCCTTCTTAATACAAACAGAATCTGATACACCATGAACATGACATTTGATTTTATAACTTTTCTTCGCATTAACTTGCAAATTCTGTAAAATTGGAATAATTGGCTTTAATTTCATGAATATATTCAATGCCAATTAAAAAGTCCAGTTCGAAAAGATAGTTCGAGTATGTCTGTCTTGTTCAAGATAGTGTAATATTAATTGCATTTATTTAAATGCATTCTGCCTGTCTATTTGTATAATAAAAAATATTATAGGGGTGTTGCATTTATTTAAGACTTTCGTTTTATGTTAACGACGTGGACATATAAATGTTAATGGATGAAATTTTGCAAACACCGTAATAAAGACGGTGCAGTTATGAGTTGATAATTAATATGAATATTATATTGTACGAAATATATATTAACTGCAATAGACTAAAGAAAAACAGTGCACCTATAACAATAATAATAAATAACAACACATTGGCATCAAACTTTAGCTACCAAAAAGCCAAATAAAATAAATACATTTTACAAAATTACATTCGCAATCTTGGATAGTCATAAAAAAGCTTACTCAAGTAAAAATGATATAGGCAAATCTTATGGCATTATGGTACTTTACCGCAAACGTTTCCGCATTATTACTCTAAAGTTCATATGTAGTTGTATACGTGATTTTATCGGGACGAATCATTTAGTGGATTCGATGAACGCCGAAATGGTAAAAGCGTTAAATAGCATAGTATATAGCGAAATAACAATAGTCGTCATCAATATGTTAGAATAATTAATTATTATTGATTTGGGTAAAATATTATAAATGGATTCTGACCAAAAAACAAAATCGAAAATCGCAACAATTTAAAGAAGAAATGAGGACTTAAAATCATTGTCAATTTTAACAAAGAAAACCAATAAAGTGTAAAGTACCGACTTTCGAAAGAATTCTGAATCCTAAGGGATTTTATTGAACAATTTTCTATGATCAGTTAAGTAAATGAATAGCAATAAAAGCTTTTTAATTTAATAAATAGCGATCAAGAGTTCCAGTTACGTAGGTCTGACTGTCGCGGGTACATTTTATATATAGTATTGTCCTATTATGTTTGTAAAAACCCGAAATAGTATCTTCACAATGCTCAAAGGTTGATATTTTGAGCAGCCACTCTTTAATTATAAGTTGCATACAGAATTTGCATGTAATAAAATATTGAAATATGAAACACGCCGATTACTTAGGTCAGAGCGCAGGATTGAAAATGGAACCAAACAAATATATATGTAAATATAAGTAACAAAGTGTGCCAACACAGGAAATTTTGTGAAAAGTAAGTCATTAGTTATCTCTACCTAACATATGTATATACAGTTATTAACAAGTTTTACCATAAGTAACTTTAAGTTGTTTCCAAACTAAAACCTTAAGGATTATGTTAAATAAAATCATAAATAACTATAACCAAATAAAAGAGATTATAAGGAAATGTACGCAGAATCAGAATAATAATAGCTCTTAGTGATATGGAAAAATGGGTTGGTTGCAGATACTTACAATAATTAAAGCCGGATGAGGTCCCTTTTTGCAGAAATTGTTGAGGTAATAATTTGTTTGGGTTGATTGTTGGTAATCGGTCGGTTGTTTGGACATTTCGTGGTGTTAGTGATTGTGGTATCGTTTTAAAGTTATTATTTGTTGGTGAATAAAGGTGTACAAACGTTAATAGTAGATTGCAGTGTGTGAGTGTAATAATTTATTTTCAAATATATATTTTCCATTTTGATGCAATTTTATTTTTCCAATATTTACATTATTTTAAATATTCATTTAAATAAAATCGCCGCGTAAAGTGTTCGAATAGTAGACATCAAACCAATCAATTATACAACATAGTAGTGGTAGTGGGTAGTAGGTAGAGCAGTTGAAGAGAAAACATGAAATAAAAATATAAAAAATATTACAAATTAAATATAAAATTAAGTCCTAATAACTTTTACATACTTATGTGTGTAACAAGAAAAAACTATTATATTAAATTCATATTAAACACCTAATATTCTGGTAATAGTTTTATTTTAAAATTCATATTTAGTTATTTCTATACTTGGAAGTAATATCATTGCATCTATTGTTACATATGCACATTTACAATCAGGTGTTTCACATAGTCTCATAACGTTATAAGTTCTAACGATCCGAAAACATAGCATTCAGAGTTGTGTTTGCGTAAACTTATTTTAGTTTATGATTTTATGACACGTTGTGAGTACCCCAAATTTATGTTTATAAAAGTATATCCTATTTTATACAGTATATTTTATCAACAAAATTTTGCAGAGCTTCCCATTAAAATAGAGATTCGAGTGTAGTTTGATCCGATAATCCTTGGGTTGGTAGTAACACACACAACGCTCTCGATTGTCATGCAGACGCGTTCGAAATAATATGAACAACCAAAGTGGACATATCTTTACAACGGTGACAATACGACAGCAGCCAATAAAGCATATTTACAAAGTTAAAATAATTTAATCCTTATATGGTGATCAATAGATAGATAGGCGTATGTACATACATATTCATATATGTACATGTATGATCATTTCGATGTATACATATCAAAACCTATTTGAATTTATTACAAATATATGTTTGTAAATAATAAGTATATGAATGTATCTGTTGACACACTTGTGCACACGCTAGCATTTATGGAATAAATGTAATTACTTCAAAATCTTTAAAAGAATTTCTTAACGAAATTTTGTTTGCCTTAAAAGGAAACTTCTCCGCTCGAAAACATGTCAAATTCCATATTTGTACAAAATCGAATAAAATAAGTTTAGATATAAACCAAACGTATACATATATCAAACTGTACACATATGTACATGTTTATATACGTATATGTGATGTGTAATTATGTTTAAATACGTTTATTGGAAGTGATTAATACTTATTCGGGTGTATTTCTTTTTCATACGGACAAAAAATAAAAATAGCAACAATGTCATGAAATCGAAAATAAGCGCATGCACTTGACTGAGATACATATATATGTACATATTTATAATATATACATATCTATACAAATGAGCATGTGGCAAAACTTTTACGTTAAAGTGCTGTTGTTCTCAAATTCTACTTTAACACTTCGTCAAAGCATATGATTTCACGTTTATGTATCTCATTTGAATCGATCCAATTGATGTGAGCAAATTTATCAATGGTCAGCAATTGAAAAAAGTATCTACATATATCTATACATATATAAATTAACACAAAAGCATAAGTGGAATAGCTGAAATTTTAAAATGTGGCTCCTATGTCATAAATCATCATTGCTCTTTATTTTATTTTGAAAGCACAGCGTTTATATTTATAAAAGGGTTAAAAAATTGCATATTGTTTCTCTTAACATGTTTTAAATGTTTAAATATCACAATCAATATAAATACAATATACAAATATCACAAATTCATGCTACCATTTTGCATTTCGCTGTATACATATATACATACATACCGACTAATGCATGTACATACTTTTCAATATTTGTATAAACTTAGGATTTTAGCATTCCATATTAGATGACACGGTTCACCTTAAATGGAGCTAAAAGCCGCAGTCGAGGTTGCAACACGTTTGAGAGCTAGATATTCTATTGAAACAACACGATCTCAGCCTGTGCACCATTTCTTTATTAAAGTTACGCCATATAGCCCTGCACACTCTGTCCCATTCTCCATTTGTACATTCGATTTTATTTATTTTTTACTTTTTGATTCGTGGTTTGTTTTCAACCGTCTTTCGTCTTTTTTACTTTTACAGATATTTCTGTTTCTTTGTTTATTTACTGAACTGATGAGTCACCACGTAAGTATTTTCGCTCTGAATTGCCAACGAAAAGGTTTTTAATCATTTCACTTCAGATAATTTTTTAGCATAATAAGTTAATGTTTGCTTTTACTCGTTTTTTCTGATAATAATAATGAATACAATTTCATTACTCATTAACGTACATATGTATATTATATGTATGTAGTACACCACATGGCATTTTACATACACATGTGTACATACGTTTACACATACACACATGTATCATACAAATTTGCTTATATACATACATGTAAACAATTAATTGGCAAAATGTTCAAGTTCAAATAATGAAAGCTTAAATGACGCTTTCGAAATTGATATTTTTTTATTTAAGAAGGGTTTGGGAAAAGAAAAGTTTTTTTTACTGTACATATTATACATTCATATTTAATCCACTTAAGTGTCTAATGCATTATTTAGAACTCGATCATTCAAATTTATAGACTTACCGCTCCCGAGCCTTTTGGTTTTGAAGCCGCTACATACGCCAAATACTGTATCACTTTTTTTGTATTTTCGGTTTTACCAGCACCAGATTCACCAGTACATAAAATCGATTGGTCCTCACGATCTGCAAAATTATATAAAAGATTATTTAATAAATATTAATAAATGGACGATACCTGTAAGAAATATATTTACATTTAACTGTTACGAATAAATTCATTATACTCTATTACAAATTTTGAAAACATCAACGTTCCAAAACTAGTATTAAATATCCTAAAATTATATTTAAAGAATARTTGAAAAGTGAGTATTGAAAATGTATATGTAATGTATGTATGTATGTATACATATGCGCTCAATAAAAACCTACCACCACCTGGTGCGCGTTGTGGGAGGCAGCTCCATTAAATCTACTTTGCCACTAAATTCAACAATTTTGCTTTTCAGGATGGCTCAGCGCTATGCCATTGTGCAAAATGGCTAAGTTTAGAATGAGAGCAAAATCATGTATAAAACTTCTATATAATATTGGTACACATGATTTTATTCAGCTCGAATTTTAAGTTTTACTTGGTCAATACATTTAGCGGTCTATGGATTCAACGCTTAGATTGGCCTGGAAACTCGCCCGATTTAGGCCGTACTGAGCATTTATGGTACATTATGAAATATAAGGTTGCTAAAGCCAACAAATAAAATATTAATTGATTTTATAATTGTTATGGTCCCGTTGCAAGGAAACCAATTGAAGTCCTAGTGAATTCCATGTCTTCAGGAATGAAGGCAGATTTTGAGGCTAAAGAAGGCACCAATCGTTACTAGGAGCCTATTGTGAATCCTATAATTCCACCATTAGTAGTAAAAATGATTTAGTCGCCTTAAATTAACTTCCCATTGTTTTCTTTTAATTAATCATAAATGTACATTTTTGTTAATTTTTTTAATTAATTGGCTTTTCCTTATATAAAACTCCTCCTTATAAAACTGACAATTTCCTATAAATCCACTATGTGGCCAAACAAATAAAAATGGTCCTAATATTGTAACATTATAAACAAATTGCTAATGTGATCTTATTTCAATTATATTAGGTGGAGCGCTTTTATTGCCCATGAGTGTATGTAAATTTATTCATAACCTATCTCCAGATATACGAGAGCCAAGTCACAGGAGTTACTTTTATCATTTCGGTATTTCAATTACCCTTTTTTTTTTGAAAAACCTGTTAAAGACACATATTATGTATTAACTTTTGCTCTGATTAAAATCTTTCTAAGGGCACAAGGAACAAAAAATGTATAAGAAAGTCCTTAGTTATCATATAAATAAATATTATGACGGAAAAAATACCCCGTTCGACTGTGGTAAATATTTAATTAAAAAATCTAGAAATTACTTTTAGGAATAAATTATACCAATTTTCAAAGCATTAATGCCGAAGTTTCTAATGTATGAAAATTGCCCCAGAATTTGCTGAAATCGGCGTTTGAATCATTCATCGTAAAAGCCAACTCCATTTTTTTTTTCGTGCTCTGGGCTTTTTTTCCATTATCTTGAGAAATTGTTGCAAACCATAACACTATATACAAGAATAGCAGAGTTATTTAAAAAACCTACTGTCAAAATTAAATTACATTTTAATGAATAACTTTTTTTGTTAAAATGTATGCTCTTATCACGTCTGACGTGATGGAAATGCCCATATGTGTACATGGGTGGTATTTGATATTTGAAACATTTCTCGATTCGATTTTGTATTAAACACTATGGTGGATTAAGGAATTTAATTATAGTTTTCCTTTGCAATTTCTTAATACATACACAAGTCATATACATATGTATGTAATATGATGACCGAATAAACGGTTGTTTCTACCATAACCGTTGTGTTATGAATCATTTGAGGAATTTAAGTAGCAGAAAGAAATCGATTTATTTCTTTTACTCAGGCCACTTTGCTATCAAAGGTTTCGAATGTTTAACCAAAAACCAGTTTCAGCAGTTGTGTTTGAATTTACATACGAAAAACATCTGAATATAAAAATCCAAGTGCAAATAAAGATAGCTAACCGGCTCGGTGCCTCCAACTGATTTGTCACCGTGTGATTCATAAATTTACGCTTAAAAATGTTCAGTATGACCATCGAATGCCTTTTTTGTAAAACACTAAGTAAACTTATCAAAATTGCGGGTTACTTAAGTATATATGTATGTATGTATATGCGGCATATATACAAGTAAATAATATGTACATACATATCTATGTATTTATATCCAAACATACCAACATACTTAAATAGGAGTCACTCTTGTCTTTTTTTGCCGAACATTCGTCATACATATGAAACCATTGCATGAACAATTCTCCGAAAAAAAGCATACATTAACTAGTGCAAAGCAAATGGAGCTTAGGGCTTTATCTAAAACGAATACTTCAAGCAAAGATATCGTATCGTACCACTGAAATAGTAATTCTTTTAAAATAGTATGACAATCAATATCTTGTTTATTTATTCCTCTACAATAACAATATTAAGTAGCTGTCCAGCAAGTAACGGCTAGGAAGCTCCAATGCATTGAAAAAAATTAGCGCGGAAACCAACACATACACATCGTGCTATTCTTGAGGCCTTTGTGTAGATGAAAGATAAATAATTCTAACGCACAAGAGAATTTTGGTTAGATATGTCAATTGGGCCTTAAAAAACTCTTGGAAACTTTAACAGAAATATCTGGTAGTGGTGTTGAATAATTAGCCGATGACAAATAACGGTTTATGTAACAAATAATTTCCACCACAACTAATCTTTTAATATAACTTCTTTTCAGGAATAGAAGTCATATACATATGTATATACACATTTGGTGCGATGATAGCAGAGTTTATGAACGTTGGTAGATTCGTGAAGGTATTTACTTATACATTCATAAACATTATCGGACAAAACATTTGCAACTGAAATAAGATAATGAAAATACTGCTGATTACACAGCCCGTGATTTCCGATACTATTTTAATTTTATCTCAAATATTACATGTTTGCTAGGGTAAACTAAGCACTTTTATTAAAAATAAACTTTTTATTTGTTTAATGTAAACAAAACAAGTAAGGAAGGGTTACGTCGGGTGCAACCGAACATAGTTGTTTAATGTAAACAAAACCGAACATAGTTGCACCCAACGTAACCCTTCCTAACGTGTTTTGTTTATATTAAACAAATAAAAAGTTTAAACAATTGGTTTAAATGAGTTAAGCATCCACCCACTTTACCCGGGAAAACTGGCGCACCTTAATAAGACAGCTTAATTCACCACAGCTGATGACAATACATTACACCATAATTGAGAACATTACCACACCCAACAAGCGGTCACCACACGAAGACATCGCATGGCGCTAAACTAACAAAAAGGATTGGGACAATTTGCTTCTTCACTGCGCCGCGTCAATGTCTTGCTCCTCTAACGCGATTTTCCAGTTCCGCGGCATCTCGATCGCCAGCATCGGCAAATTTCTCGGAATTGAAGTCTCACCGCTTATCCCGTCTATATTTGTGGCGACTAACTTTATAAAATATACATTTGAGTTATAAATAAAAGTTAAAAGTTTTGCTCATTTTAGATCCGTATGCATTTTTATTTACTAAAGTGAAAGTGATTAGTACTTTTGTTTGCAAATTTGGCAGCAAATTGTTCACAATTTTTGGTCATAAGGTGGCACTAAAGACATTATTCGCGCAAAGTTGTATCTCGTTATATTAACGGCTTCTTGATTTGTGTACTGGAAGCTGAACGAATCAAGTGGAATTTAAAATTGTGCTATGCATGTGTGCAATTTGACATAAGAATGTAAGAAAAATGCCAGGTAATAAATATTTGTGGAAATTGGTTGGGCGGGTCCTGCGGTATAGGATTTCACCAATTTCACACCGGCATCATAAAGCTGTCTTATACAATCTTAGTGGTAACATTTAATGTCTCTGGCGCATTTAGTTATTGATTTACCGCGCTTTTAGTAGTTTTTTACAGTACCGTTATATGGGGAGTGAGCGGGGTTCATCCATTTTCATACTGTCATTAGGAGTTCTTATAAGATTTGTACTCAGGAAATTTGTAGCTTAAGTGATTTAGGAAATATGTACATTAAACATATTAGAGGACGTGGCTTTTTTCAAAAAATTTTGCCCACTCGTGCCCCTTGCTACTACGATCACCTGTACCAAATTATAATTTTATATCTTAATATCCATAGTTAAGGCACTTTATAGGTTTTAGGACAGACAGACGGTCAACCAGATTTCAACTTTTCTTTGCATGCTTATCATTTATATACATATGTATATGTATATAAACCTATATCTATCTTGCTTAGTTTTAGGTGATAGTTACAACCGTTAGGTGAATAAAATTATAAAACTCTGGCAACTGGTTCCAAGAGTATAAAAAACGATAAAACATCTAAATTCAATTAGACAAAAAATTGCAAAGAATACGGTACATTATTTTTATTAAAATAGAAGAAAATATTAGTATTTTGTGGCACACCCATTGCATTCACTAAGTGTTTTGCATCACCGCGATATTGAAGCTATAAGATTATCCACTATCGTTTGGGGTATATTTCTCAATGAAAAACAGATCAGCATTTGCTGATTTCGGATTCGGATTTCGGATCGTTGTTCTGCTAGAAGACATACTTAAGTGGCATTTCCCAATCATCATGTGGCAGCATTACGGGTTCCATAATGTCTCTATAGACGTACCGATTCATGGTGCCATTTATACGATGAAGCGGCGCCAAACCAGAAGCAGAAACGCATTCCCAGACTGTAACATATTCACTATGTTTATCTGATACAAACTTTTAAAACTTTTCTATCAGTTTTTCTTTGGTAGGCCACCTTGATGCACTACTGCGATATGTCGACATCGTTCGTGAGATTGAAGAATTGTGAATTTCTATTTGTATTTATAGAAACTTTTTTGGAGAAGTTTCGTTATTATAATCATCAATAACTCGTACTCGCAGCGCTTCACCGGAAGTATTTGGAACCATTGCTTTCTTTTTAACAAATTTAAAATAAAAACGTGTTTTCGCAAAAAATTCAACGCAAAAATTATACTCAGTAATTGTTTCAATCAATATAAACTCAGTTCAATTACATCAAGTAAGGAAGGGATAAGTGCGTGTGCAACCGAAAATTGTATACTCTTGCAACTTGCAGGAATCAAATCCAGTGAAATTCCTTAAGGTGTAAAATGTCAACAAAAGGATCGGAATCCAAACAATTTTATATATACATACTATATACAGCGCACGCTCGCTAATGTGAACACTCTATAGTTCGAACACCCCATAATGTGAACAGACTTTTTTATACATTGACCACTTTATAATGCGAACAAACCCAAAAGGCTCTATAATATGAACAAAAGACGTTAAAGTATTTGAATGTAGTTTACACAGATCTCAGCTAATTCTGAATTTGGAGAATCCCCTAATTGTAGAATAAGACTCTCATTTGTATTGCATGTAATGCGTAGAATACTTCAGTTGCAATTTTGTATTTGCGTGGAGTGTTTCGTTTTAGATTTTCTGTTAAAAATGAATTCTAAAAAACACACGTCTTTGACATTGAAGCAAAAAGCTGATATTCTCGATTCTTTAAAAAGAGGCTCATCTATGACGTGCTTAGTAAAGAAATATAATGTTGCTAAATCAACAATTTGTGGAATCAAAGCAAAAAACAAGTGATTTTAAAGTTCGTGAACAACACATACTCGGGACCTGGACAAAGCTGCCCCAGCTCTTGGATCCGTTTAAGAAAAAAACTTAGAGCTAAAATGGCCAAACTGGAGCTGTGTAACGACCAGTTATATAATGCTGATGAGTCAGGCTTATTCTGGAAACTTCTGCCAGAAAAAACGTACGTGTGCAGTATGGAAAAGAGAGCCCCAGGCGTTAAGTCGGAAAAGCAGCGAATCACGTTTTTATGTTGCTCAAACGCACCTGGATCTCATAAACTGAAACTTTTGGTAATTGGAAAGGCAAAGAATCCACGCTGTTTTAAAAACTTTCAATGCCCCACAGACTATAAGAGCTCAAAATCCGCCTGGATGACGTCGGCTGTTTTCAAGGAATGGTTTCATGAGTCCTTCGTTCCACAGGTGAGGATTTATTTTGTATTTTGCTAACTTTTTTCTTTTAAATTTGTTTTTTAGGTAACGTCATTTTTAAAGGAAAAAGGTTTGCCAAATAAAGCTCTACTCCTAATCGAAAACGCTCCTTCTCACCCAAATGAAGCTCAGCTGGCAACGGAGGATGGACAAATTTTGTCAATGTTTATGCCACCAAACGTTACTCCCCTCATCCAACCAATGGATCAAAATGCCATAAAGATCACAAAGTTGCATTACAGAAACAGCCTTTTAGCCTCAATAGCAGCTACAAACTCCAATTTACTCGATTCGATGAAAAAAAATACTTTACGAAGAGCTATAAATCTTTTGGATGCCGCTTGGAGTCGTGTCAGCGAAGTAACATTAGCTAATTGCTGGAAAAATATTTTAAATTTTACGGCAGATGATGACGATCCCGAAGATAGTCTTCCGCTCGCAGTTTTAAAAGAAAAATGGGGAGCTCGCGCCTTGATGAGCAATACCGTCGATCTCCTTAACAGTTTGAATGCTGAGGTTAGTTCGTTTTCGCAGAATCGCACAAAGATATGCAGGTTATTGAAAATTTTTTTATTAATCATTTCAGGCTGAATTAACGCTACCAGGTGTTCATGAATGGAACGAAGATATTGAAGATGATAATGCAAATGACGAGCATGAAGAAGAAGACGATTCCGATGAAGGCAGCGTATCGGAGGTAGAAGAGAAAATTAAGCGGACTGAAGCAGTTGAAATTTTCAACAAGGCGATAAGGAGGGCTGGTCATGAAGACGTCGATCCAAATGATGTAAATGTACTAAGACGTCTAAGAGAGAAAGCTGTGCTCCAACTTTTAGAAACACAGAAGATACCGGAAAGGATGACTGATTTTTTCAAATAAAACCTAGATTTTGTATCATATGTGTTACGTAAAAATTTATATGTAATGAAAAAATGAATAAAATGTGAATTCCAATATATAAATACACATTATCCTATTCTTTTGACGCATTCCATAATGTGAACATTGGCTTTAATTAGGTCAGATTATCGAGCGTGCGCTGTATATGTACCGCAGGACAGTATTTTAGGCCCAAGTGTAAACATCAGAACAGCAGAACTTCCAAGAGCTAATAATGAATTGGCTTCAACTTTTGCGGATGACACAGTTTTGGTGAGCCGTAACAAATGCCACATAATAGCATCAAGAATATTGGTGGAGCACTTAAGTTTTGTAAGAGCATGGCTAGCCAACTATAATTAATTTTTTAATAAAGTTGATTTTATTTAATAGTGCAAAGTACAAATTTTATTCGAAATGACCATCTTTTGCTTTCACAAAAACCCTCAAAAGATTCATCCATTGATCAAAAGCAGCACGCACAATTTTCGTTGGTATTACTAATGATTGGATATGACTTAGTTGCCTGACGGAAGGCTTTTATATGGATATTGAAAAGTAACGGAGAAATGTGCTGTCTTCGCTTGCCAAAAAAAAACAAGTTTCCCCAACTGCTGACATGATTCCGGCCGAATGAGTAGCAGATACAAAAAATCAAAATGGTTATTAAAGTTGAAGGTATTTTTTATCAAAAATTAAAAAAATGGCGTAGTTCCGAAAAAAACGTATTTTTTTTTTTATTGCGGTTTTTTTAATGCCAAATTGACAATTTTCAACCAATCGAAAAATAGTTGGTCATTGTATAGTAAATATACTCAAGAATACTCAATTTCAATTTGAACTCGATTGGTCAATTTCTCTTTGAGTTATAATGTCAGCAATTTTAAAAAATGTCGTTTCGAGAAATACGCGATTAAAATTTCAACTATCCGCTTTAACCCTACGAGCGACGGCTCTTTAGAACGCTGCCATTCAAAAACTATCAAGATACGAAATGGCCGATTTCACAGGATATTTTTGAATATGAACTATCGAAAAAGCAGAAAAAAACAAAAAAAAAATATTTTTTGAAATTGTATAGCCCCTTAAGTTTTTTGAGAAAATCATAATTTTCCCTTAAGCTTTTTCCACACTTACGTATGTAAAGCAATTACTGCACTACGATTTCCTTTAGCTCCTCACTACATTATTAATAAGAGAAAGGAAGTACTGACCTGACCTTTGTTGACCTTTGACCTTTGTTCTCTAATATTTGTTGATATTTTTTTATGATCAAATTATTTGCAATGGTTTACCTTGTAGCATAGATCTATAGGCGGTGTCGGTTATTGCAAAAACATGGGGAGGCACTTCATGCCTTTTTATACCCTTATACCGTTCCATTATCTTCTCGGTATAGATTGGCAATTTTTTGTAAGGGTTCACAACAACACAGAATAGGCCCGAGTAAGTCTGTAAAGGAAAATATAGAATAAAAATTAATAATATTCAAGATAAAGGAAATGAATAAAAATATTCTCTGAAAATAATTATCAAGCACGCGTACAAAAAGAAAATATATGAATAACTTAAGTTGAGTAAAAACCGGATGCATATGTACCATACATATATAAATGTTACAGTAAGTTTTTTAATATATTTATTTATTTTAAACTCTTGCTCACAAACACATACATACATATGTACGGGATATTATTTCTTCAGTTAAGTGGGTTTTTTTTGCGTTTTTAAATAGAAATTCGTATACCAACAACGCATAGAGTTAAAACAATCTAATATAGCTAAGTTATGCACTGCCTTACTCTCATACCGGAAAAATTATGCGGAAGATTTTAAGGTTTTAGAATTGCCATCTACAAAATAATCGATGAAAAGTTCGTTTTCAATTCAAAAGTAATTCGGATGGACTACACAAAAAAATAATGTCGCCAAATAGAATCTAGATATCAGTGCAGTCTAACAGTATATGTGAAGGGTGAACGTCTACACCAAAGTTTTTTTCTCAAAATAAACCCAGTGATTCAATACGTGATGAAGTTAGGAAATATAAAACAATTTATCAAAGCGTTAGACGTGGAAGAATATTATCTCAATTACATTTGTTGAAAATTTTCGAAGCTTGGGAAAAGTTTAAAAGCCCACTATTTGCTAGTCCCAAAAAACGGCGATTCGAGAAACATACATCAGTTTAGGAAATTGAAGCTTGGAAGGTTTGTGTTGAGCATAACTTATAAAACCATTGATAAAACAAAATCGATCTTATATAAAAACAAGTAAGGAAGGGCTAAGTTCGGGTGTCACAGAACATTTTATACTCTCGCATGATAAAGTGATAACCGATTTCACCCATATTTGGTACATGTCATCAGGGTGTTAAGAAAATATTATATACCGAATTTCATTGAAATCGGTCGAGTACTTCCTGAGATATGGTTTTT